GTGGCCCTGACCCCAGGAAGTTGGGGCTTAATATACTCAGCGATAGCCAATCAACTGCACCCAGGTGGCACGCTAGGATAGGTTGTCACCAAGCAGATCTAGAAGGGTATGTGGCCTTACTCCTAATAAGGAGTTGTTTACTTACTGAGAGCACTCGCCATCGGGCAGGCGAAATGCGGAAACCGGCGCCATCTTATGGGCGTGGTACTCTGCAGCTCCCAACATATGGCCAAAAAGCAAGTTGGAGATGAATGGGTTTATTTGGCTTACACTTCAATATCATACTCTATCACTGAAGAAAGCCAGGACAGGAACTCAAACCGGGCAGGAACCTGGAGGCAGGAGCTGATGCAGAGGCCATGGAGGAGTTCTGCTTACTGGCTTGTTCCCCATGGCTTGTTTAGCTGCTTTCTTAAAGAATCCAGGACTACCAGCCCAGGGATGGCACCATCCACCATGGGCCTCCTCCCTCATTAGTCACTAATTTAGAAAATACCTCACAGCTGGATCTTATGGAGGCATTTTCTTCATTGAGGCTCCCTCCTCTCTCGTGACTCTAACTTGGGTCAAGTTGGCCTACAACCAGCCAGTACAATGCCCATAGACTTCTGCAAGTGTGCCCTACAAGTCACTGCCAGACCTGAACAGAGAATCTTACCTTGTTGTTGGAGGTCCTGTTGAATTGACTCGTCTATTCTGGTTTAAATTTGGTAGTTTGAGTGAATCTAGAAATTCATCTATTTTCCAACTTAATGGAATACAGATTTTTAAAGTATTCCCACACAGTATTCTGAATTTCTTTGGTGTCTGTTGTGATGTTTCTTTATTCATTTGTGATTATGTCATTTGGGGTCCTTTCTTCCTTCTGGTTAATTGGGCCAAGGGCCTGTATATCTTGTTTATCCTCTCAAAAATCCAGCTCTCAACAAGCCCGGCAGTTGATCTTTTCCAAACAGGCACAGCAGGACACATGAACAAGGGAGTTGACTCAGAAGAGAGCACCCTGCAGCTTTCTTATTAAAAGAGAGTTGAAGCTAGGCAGTGGGGGCCACACCTTTAATCCCAGCTTGTGGGAGGCAGAGGCAGGCAGATCTCTGTGAGTTCGAGGCCAGCCTGGTTTCATAATATAACAAATTAAGACTACCTCACACATCCTTTTAGTTACCAAGCTTTTTCTGGTGCAGGTTTTGAAGCAATACTCTTTGCCTGGACTTTTGTGTCACTTTTCTAGCCTGAGAGTTAGAAAAACAATGCTCACATTTTAGTAAGTGCCTTATCACATTGTCAAAATGACCTTGATGTGAGAGAATACTCTGTACACAAAACCCAGAAAAGAAGGCACACATAGAGTCAAAATTACTGACATGTTAGCTCTCATTACAGGTTTTGATCACAGAATGCATTGATTCCCCTTGTATGAATTAGGATAGAGAGGAACTCGCCCATCAATAGACAAGACATTTTCTCCTCCTCCAGTCCCATGCTTGAATCTATCAGAAGTTCCTGGTGTTACCCATAAAAAAGAACTCTGGGCTCTCCATTCCTCTTCAGAAGATATGAGAGTGATTAGTTTTGCAAATTATCTTGTACACTTTTATAAGTATCCAATTTTTTTGTTCTGGTGATGTTTATTAACCATCTTAAGATTTTTACATTAGACAGAGGGTTCTCAGTATTCTTTCTATGCACTGCCACCAATTTCTAATTTGATTATTATTTATTTAGTACCTGCAACCAAGAGAATACAGAACACAGAAAACAGTAGCATCTGAAAGAACTTGGGAAGGGGCAGCAGCAGAGTTCTCCTTCCTTGGCTTGTCTCTGTCGTTGTAACTGCAAGGTGAAAATGAAGGAAGGTGTGGTGGTGGGAGCACAACTGGCCCCGGAGGCTCAGATTTTCAGGCACTCAGTCACCAGGAAGTGACTCTATTTGAAAGGATTAGGGAGGTTAGGAGGTGTGGCCTTGTTGGAGGAAGTGTGTCACTGGAGATGGGCTTTGAGGTTTCAGAAGATGCCCATTGTGTTTCTCTCTGCCCATAGACAGGATGTAGACCTGTAGCTATTTCTATCTGTGTGCTGTCTTGCTTCCCACCATACTGATAGTGGCCTAACATCTGAAACTGGAAGCCAACCCAAATTAAATTGTTTTCCTCTTAAGAGTTGCCTTGGTCATAGTGTGTCTTCCCAGCAATTCCATGGGGACTAAGACACTGGGTATCCAGGCAGCAGGCACCCAAGCAGACAACATACATGGAACAGAGGAGTCGTGAGAATGTAAGGAATATTTTACCTTGGAGAAAAGCAAGTCCAGCCGAGCCAGGATCTTAAGCCTCCTGCCCAAGCAGGCTGCTCCTTCTTTGCACTGGGCTACCCACTAGCTGCAGCTTCTCTGGTGCCTGGAAATCTATCCTGTGGGTGCTGTGTAACTGGTTTGTGCTACCCCAAAATGCAGCCCTCAGCTACTAAAAATGACTTCTCAGGTCTAGCCATTTCAAAGTGTTATCTTCTGTTGGTAGAGTTGAAGGCATATGACTGGGAAAACTCTTAAGTCTCCTCTAGAAAACAGTGAACAGATCATGCAAAACAATGTGCCAAAAATGCACCATGGAGTTTTGGATATTGCCTTCTTAAGATATACAGGAAATGTGGAGGTGGTGGTGCACACCTTTAATCCCAGCACTTGGGAGACAGAGACAGGCAAATCACAAGTTCAAGGCCAGCCTGGTCTACAAAGCAAATTCCAGGATAACCAAAGCTGTTACACAGAAAATCCATCTTGAATCTCCCCCCCAAAGAAAAACCCTACATAAAACAGGAAATACTTTGGCTTTTTGTCCTGTGATAACAGAGCCATGCTGGAGTCTCTCAATTCCATGATCCCGTTAGGGACACAGGAAGATGACATTAAAACAGAAAAAAACTGGGAGAAGAGGACTGGGATGTGGGCCTGACTCCTGTGACCCAGAAAGTCCTAGGACTACAGTAATCCTCTGAGGGCACAGTGATACTGGCAAATATTTCCATGATGTCACTAACCAAGATGAGGGCCACGTCACATGAGCACTAGGTGACCGACTGAAGTGCTGTCATTTGGATCTTCATTTGATCTCTCAGCTCTTAGGTAGAAGGAAGGATCCACAGTCCCTCTGTAGGACATTTCTTAGCAGTCATTTCTATGTTTATATATTCTTCCTGCCTCTGTCTCTCTATACCTGTGGTGTGTGTGGGGGGGTGGGTGTGTGTGTGTGTGTGTGGTTGCCACTCCTGCTGGACAGCCTGCCCAAATCTGTGGAGGGTGTCGGGATTGATGACACACAGACCAGTTGGTGGTGAAAGAAGGCTTCTTCAAGAAGGCTACACTTTATTCTTACCCTGGCTGGTTATTATATGCCCTGACACCAGATGCGGCAGTGGGGGGTCAGAGAGGCAATTAGTCATTGGAAAAGGTCAAGGTCACGGTGTTCCTGTGTGCGAGCCTTATCAGGAACTTATTGCTCCGGTAAACATTTCTTACGGGCACCGTGTTGTTTTAAATAAACATGTTTTTAGTAAACATGTCTACTCTGCGGTCAGTCACAGCTGCCTGCTCCCAGGCTGATGGGGAAGTGGGCCTCTGGCCAAGGTCTTTTGTTCCCACCTGTGTTGATGGAGGTGGTAGTGGTGATTGGTGGTGGTTTGCCAGCATTTACGTCTGTACATCATGTCTGTCTGGTACCCACAGAAACCTGAAGACGGCATCAGATCCCCTGAGACTGGTTACAAAAGGTTGGGAGCTGTGTGGTTGATGGGGATCTGAGTCCTCTGGAAGAGCGTCCAGCGCTTGTATCCACAGAACCACGTCTCCAGCCCCATCCCTGGCCCCTCTCCAGCTCCATCCCTGACCCCTCTCCAGCTGCATCCCTGGCCTCTCTCCAGCCCCATCCCTGGCCCCACTCCAGCCCCATCCCTGGCCCCTCTCCAGCTGCATCCCTGGCCCCTCTCCAGCTGCATCCCTGGCCCCTCTCCAGCTGCATCCCTGGCCCCTCTCCACCTCCCAGCCCTGGTCCCTCTCCAGCCCCATCCCTGGCATCTGTTGAGTACTCTCCACTGTATGAAGTCAGGTGGGGACGGACTTGGAGTCTTTTTGCCGATGCAGCCTTTTCCGTCTCTGCTCTCCCGCACAGGGGTGAGGCGGAAGTGTCCAGGAAGACAGACAGAGTGAGAGTGGAGGATGACACAGATGGGTGGTGACAAAGGGGGAAGTGCGATCAAGAGGAGAATCTGGAGTGTGACAGGACCCTGGACAGCTCCAGGGAGCTGAGGTGGCAGTAGTCCCTGCAAGGGAGACCTGGGAACAGAGTGGGCAAACATCGAGGACGGCTTCATGTGCTTGCTGAAGGCCTGGCCACCTAGCTTTGTGGGACTAGGGAACAAGTCACAGCTGAGAGGTGACCTGGAATCCTCCGTGGACATGCATTGGAGCTTGTAGCTCTCCACCATGGACCTGCAGCTGTGACCAACCAGGACGGTACCTGTTGGCAGGACCTTGGCTTTCATGGCCTGCATTTTGTACAGCAGAAATGCCATGACAGGAAACAGGTGCAGAGTGGCTCCGACTGGACTCCTGAAACTGTACACAAGCCTATCTACATTGTCACCCTTCTGGTGGCAGAGACCACATGCCGGGAACTGCACACGTGGTCGTCTAACTGTCAGAGGACTTTCCGCAGTGGAGGCCACCCCCTACCACAGCCCGTTATTCTTGACACTGGCAGTTTTCTGGTTCCCCTGCTACAGTGGACTCCATAAACTACTCTTGCTGCTGTGGTCTAAAGGTGCGGTCCTTCACCCACAATCCCTTCCCTGTATCCCCGGCCACCGAGTCCGTTATCTGCCTTTCTCTCTGCTGACTCAGAGGCCTGGGGCTGCAGGGTTGTGTCAGTGAGGTTATCTCCTCCTCCACCCCCCTAGGGAGGGTCAGGAGACTGGGAATAGATGAGCAGCACAGCTTCCGGGACGAGTCCCATCCATGTGTTTTTACTTTGGAAGACAGTTGCTGTTGCTGGAGGAGATGGGGAGCCTGAAGTTAGTGCTTTGGGTTGCCAGGCATTGATCTTCAGGAAATAATATGAAGCTTCATCCATCTGAAAAATATGATAGTTACAGCCAGTCTGAAAGACAAAGTGAGAGACAGACAGACAGACAGACAGACAGACAGATCACGTGTGCATCTCAAAGACAGCATGCAGCCCGGGTCTCTCCTTTGACCTCTGGATCCCTGGATGCGATCAGGGATCACATTTGTAAACTGCGCTTTACTCACTAAACCGTCTCATCCACCAGAATCCCGGTTTTTGTGTTTATTTGTGTGAACCAGCTCCCATGTAGGCCAGGAGTCCCCGTGTCCTCCAGGGACCAGGAGCTGTGACTACAGGTGTGCTCCCCTGTTCCTGCTTTATGTGATCCTAAACCCAGGCCAGGCCCAGGCAGGCAAGCACTCTAGAAAAGACACTACATTCCCAGGTTTTAAATTCTTTCTGCAACCGTCTCAATTGCTAAGATGAATACAAAGTTACTATGTGGCTGGAGCTTTCTGGCAAAGAACAGAGAGAGACACACAATAGTCCCCGCCTGTAAGAGTCAACCCACGTGGTCTGTGACGTCCTGCACAGGAAAAGACACCTCAGGAAGGCTGTCCTGCCAGAGACTTTACAAGACACACCCAGCCCATTTTAACAGGCAGCCCATGGTCCCTGGCCACTGTCCACTCTCGCTCCTTGAGGGCCTCCCGTCTGCTGTGGGCCCTTTGGCCGATGTCCACCCTCCCTCTTGAGCATGTCTCCGTCATTCTCTGAGAACCCGCCAGTGTCCTGCACCATAGGATGTGTCTCATCTGAATCCATCTGGCAGACACCAGGGACTAGGGCGCAGGGCAGAGGAGCTGATCAGAACGGAGTCCTTCCTTTGAAGGCCAGAGCAGGCTGACATGAGACACAAGGGAGAGGGCGTGGCCCCTCCTCCTTTGGTCTGTGCTGGGAGCTCCTCCACACCTTTAGACTCTGTAGTGGGCAGATGCAGGTGAGCAGGCTAAGGGTGAAAGAGGGGAAGCCCTCGTCTGCCCCAGGGAACTAAGGACACACACGGGGAGGGGGGGCTATGACCTGGGGAAGCCAGAGAAGTGTCCCCAGGACACAGAAGTGCAAAGTGATCTAAGACTTTGATTTGCAGCTGAAGGAGGTGGCAGGAGGTGGTGGCCGATGTGGGGTGGGGTTGAGCGGGTGATGCCCATGGCCAGTTAGAGGATTTGCCTCCTACAGAGACCTTTGCAGACATAGGTGCTTAGGACAGGAGGAGAGGCAACAAGGACAGAGACCTGGATTATTCAGTTCAGGAGATCTCCCGGTTCACACAGCCTTGATTATCCTCTCCTCAGTGGTGTTTATCAGTGGCATGCTCCTATGACAAGGAGGAGCACAGTGGCCCATGGCACACATGCAGCAGAGAGTCTCGAAAGGGAGGATGAAAGACCACAACCTTCACATGTGTCAGGGAAGGCATGAGGGTGAGGAACTTATTCCTGGACACGTGGTTCCCTCAGGCCAGTCTAGCCTAGGTGGACTGAGTCTCCCTTCAGCACTGGCTTGGTCTCCCGTGGCTGGGAAGGCGGTGAAGACCTACAGACCTGAAGGCTGGTGTTGCACAATTAATGGTTAAACTATGTAATTATATGTTGCTGTCTTAGCTTGCCTGACCAAGATGCCTGATTGGGCTAATAAAAAGCTGAGTGGCCAATAGCAAGGGAGGAGGTGTAGCTGGGGCTTCTGGGCAGGGAGAGAAAGTGGGAGGGGGAATTTAGCCTCGGGAAAGAAAGAAAAAGAGACACCAAGGAGATGCCGTGGGCCACACAGACAGACAGACACGGAGGAACCAGGAAAACAGGAGATACAGGATGAAAGAAAGGTAAAAATCCCTGAGGCAAAACATAGATGAATAGAAACAGTTACATCAAGGTAACGGAGTTAGTGGGACAAGCTAGGCTGAGGCCGAGCATTCATAACGAATCAGTCTCCATGTCTTTATTTGGGAGCTGGTTGGTGTCCCAAAGAAAATTCCAACTAGAAGCTGGGAAGATGTGATCTGCTCTGTAAGTCAGACAGGAGACAGTGGCTGGTGTTCAGGATACCAGGGAAGGACAGGTAGGTGGTGGAACCTTCTGGCTTCCCTAGGGTCAGTGCCTTTACTTACCGTGAGTGGACGGTGTCCGATTGTCCTCACTGAGAATGCTCTTACGTCTGGTTCTAAATGAAGAGGAGAGACTGTCACCTGTGTTTGGTTCTGAGTTGGGAAGGACCCTGGGAGCCGATGATAATTGGGAGCCTCGTGGTGTCCTTGCTGTGTGTTCACACCATGGCTGCCACTCCTCTCTTACTGCTGCCTCCTTTCCCAGTCTCACGGGGCCCCTCCTAGTGTCTGATCCTCTCACCCTGTCGTGTCTGCTGTCTTCCTGACTGGTGCTGGGGGTCCCACGGGGGAGTGGGACATCCCGAGTCCAGACATCTCTTCTTTTCAGTGCTCGGCACATTCTGTCTTCACACCACACCCCTTTGTCTCCCACTGGCAGGAACTTTTTTCTCACTGGTTGTCCCTGGGGATCCTGAGCCTTCTGCCTCCACTAGGCTGCCTCAGTCTGTCCCTCCACCCTGTTGCTGTGTTCACAAAATATAGAGAGCTTACCTTCTTCTTAGCCTGTTCCACTTTGGGGGTGTCTTTGACGTTGCTTGGCTTATTTACCTGCTGGTTTTCTGCCATCCTTCATTTGATTTATGTTTTCCTTTTTACCCAGATTCCTGTTGAAACAGGAAGACAATGCATTTTTAACCTTCTCAGGGAAAGGAGTGACCATGATCCACAGACAGTGGTGTAGAGGACACAGGAAGGCGGTGATGTGAGGACCATAGACATGACTGAGAAGCAGACAGCAAAGAGAAGAAGATGGGGTCCTTAGGGCAGGGGGAGGAAGCCCTTCACTCTCCCAAGCATGGAGGACATGCAGGTATAGCTAGAAGAGTGTAAGTCTCTGTACCTGCCACGGATGGTTTTTAACAGGAAGACCACGAGAATTATTAGCGCAGCCAGTCCCAGCAAACATTGAGCAACAATGCCAATGATAGGCCCCCAGGAGTGCCAAAAGTTCCTTTTTCCATATATAGCTATCATGGAGAGAAAAGATAAAAGCATCACAATAAATCCATCCTCACTGGGCCCCTGGAAAAGAATTCTGTGATGTTGTGAGGTATCTGTGTGCTCCTTTGGGGATGCACTTCCTATAAGAAGCTAGGTTAGGAGAGGAGAGGCAATCAGCAGGGTTTGCTCTCCCTGTTTTCTCATAAGTACTGGGTTTCTAGGTTGTCCTTGCCTGTGGAGGGAGAAGGAGTGTACGTTAGCCTGAAGCCTAAGTCACGTCTAGTCTGGCAGTTCTTGGAGCCTCTCAAGATGGGGGAAATCCATATAGTTTTTTATGTCAATATTAGTGTTTTTAAGTGTGCTAATCATTTTCTCATTGTCCTCATTGTGGTGGATGTGAGTAGTCACCTTTCTGGTGTCTTGTGGCCAGGAGGTAATTGACAGAATGTCAAGACTGAGTGTACTCTAAATGACCACCTTTTCCTCTCAGGGACTCTGTCTTAGTTACTGTCTCTGTTGAGGTGATAAAATGCCACAATCCAGGACCACCTCCCCAGGCTTGGCAGTATTGCCAGGGAGGTGGACCCATCCACATCAGTCCTTTGAAGGAAATGTCCCCAGGTTTTCCACAGGTCAGTCTGGTGGAAGGCAGCTTCTTCTCAACAGAGGTTTCATGTCCCCAAATGAGTTAGTTTGAGTCAAGTTGATATACAGCTTGCCAACACAGACCCCCAACTCCCAGAGCTTTCAGCCAGGGATATGAAGACAAACCTTCTATGGTGGGTGACTCTCATTCCTGACTGGAAAAGACTGTTAGGCCTGTATTGCAACAGATACCACATTCCCTTCACAGGCCTCAGAGCTGTAGGTACAACCCAGGGACTCTCCAGACTCCTCCCACCAGTAAACAATCACTAAATAGATACCGTATATAAAACTATAAAATATGATGACATCTGTGGGGTTCCATGCCTGTAACCCCAGGAGTTGAAGGACAGAGACAAGAGGATTGCTATGAGCTAAGGATCAGGCTAGACTACTGAGTGAGTTCCAAGGCAGACTGGGTCACATAGTAACACCCCAGCTCAAAAACAACCACCAGCAGCAAAACCCAGCACAGCCACAACAAGAAAGGGCACAGAGTCAGAACATCCCTCGGTCCAGCTCTCTATGGCCAAATGATCTTTGACAAGTACGCTAAGAGTTGAGCAGTACAGCAGATGAGGAGGGAAAGGGTTGTCCGTGCCCAAGTCCCATTCTTCAACACGTTATACAAACATTGACTCTAAACGGTTCCAAGTCCTAAATGTAAGAAGTATCATTATAAAACGTCCAGAAGAGAGTCTGTGCTGTAAGGTCCGTGACATTGGATTTGGCAGTGACACTCTGGACTGTGACACAAAAGCACAGGTGGCAACAACGGGCAAACAACACATTTGACCTCATGAAAAGTGAATTTTCCTGTGCATCAAAGGCATTGCCAGCTGTGTCATCCAGCTGTCCCCCTCCAGGATGTAGACAGAGCAAAATCTACATCAATCCTTTCTTTATCACTAAAGAAGGAAGACATGGAAAGTTAAGTGTCCATCAGTGGATGAGTGGTAAAAGAAATCTGACATAGAAACACACTGTAACACAACTGAGCTTTTAAAGGAGTAAATTCTGCATTTTGACACCATGGATGGACATGGAGGATAATATGCTAAGTGAACTAAGCGTTGTACAGAAAAATAAACACCTCATGATGTCAGGTCGGTGGGGGATGGTATTGTGTGACTTTTCCTAGGAGATGTGAAGAAACAGCTTTCACCACTGTCCTGGGGTTTTCATTGCTGTGAAGAGACACAATGACCTCTGCAGCTCTTATGAAGAAAACATTTAACGGGGTGGCTTGCTTGAAGTTTCAGGGGTCCAGACCATGAGTGCTGTGATCGGGAGCATGGGGGTGTGCCAGAAACATGGGGCTGGAGCTGAGAGTCCTGCATCTGCAGACAACAGGAAGTCAGCTGAGACACTCAGCAGTCGCCCTGACATCAGAAACCTGAAAGCCCACCCCACAGTTACATACTTTCTCCAGGGCCACACCCACTCCAACAGAGCCACACCTAATAGTGCCACTCCCTATGAGACTATGGGGTCTTTTACTTCCAAACTACCTCAACCACACAGGTGGCAACTATGAGACACCAAAGACAGTTAAAGCCTAGTCTAGCTTAGTGAACCTTAGTGAGCATAACAGTGTGGGTGACTCACAGGCAGCAGCATGGTTGTAAAGCCCATGTCAGAATGTGTTACAACTCATGAAAGACCAGAGAGACCAGCAAAGTCTCTAACGTCCTACATCAGACCCTAGACCCCAGCAGTCTCTGTCTTAACATTACTGTGAATATGGTCTTGTTGGCCTTGTGAACTACAATTAAAACAGTTTTCTCAGTGATGTCTCTCTGTCTGTCTTTCCTGTTTTCTTCCAGGCTGTAATATTAATGGGTGAAGTTAACAGTGTCCCTAATAGCTCAAATCAGCCTATCAATCCCAGACTGCTTTCTGCCATAGTCCTGCAGGTTACAGAGTCTTGACTCAGGACAGATGAGTGGTTACATTGCTCGGTGTAGCTGACAGATGAAAGGATTACCTAATTTGTTCTAGTCGAATAAAAGCTCATGAGTCAGAAATTGAGATAAAGACCTGAAAATCCAAGGAAAGCAGAGTGATTTGATTGGCTGACCCTCTCTCCACATTCTCCTGAACTCCAGCACCAGAAATTCTCCCAAACTTCTCCTGCGTCTCTTCTGTCCTCTCTATCCTGAAAAGTCCTCCAAGAACATTAAGGCTAATCCTGGTCAGCCAATTGCTGACTCCATCCTAGATTCAATGTGGCTTTATTGACACAGTGGATTGGCTGTAAGGACAATTATCCTGCAACATTTCTCCCTTTTATCTACATAAAAAGGAAAGGCTTCAACTCTAACAATACAAAACTATATACAGTAAGAACAATTACCAAGTAAGAAACACATTTATAATGTCCAGTTCATTAGTATTTAGCAAATTTAGCAAAAATATTCGATTATCTATTCTCCCTTGATGGGTTCAAAGTTTTGTACCTAATTTACTTTTTATTGTGACTAAGGGAAACTGTAAGTATAACTATCTAGTCTTCAACTCCATCAGAGATCTGGGAAGTGTATAACATTGCCTGAGTAAGCCCAAAGTGCAAAGCAAGAAATTTCCAAAACTATAGAAACGACAGAGATATCTGTTCCTCTGCAACATTGGGCATCCATCTTCAGCTTCCAGACCTAGAATATCTGACAGACTTTTCTGTGAAGCAGGAATGTTTTTAAAGAACTGTCCTGCTCTGTCTTGGCAGACTCTTTTGTTTCCTGCCCGTCCAGTTTGGACAGCATCTGTCAGCAGTTAAGGCAAGGGCAGTTTCTTGCCCAAATTTCTAGCTTTTGCCATGAAGAAAACAGACTCCATATGGAGGTTCTTCAGTTATCATTTTATGAAGTGGATTAGTGCTGCCAGGAGCAGACATGTCTCACCATCATGGAAATCCCTGTTACTAAAACATTAAAACATCTTGTTCTGAGCCAGGCAGTGGCGGCACATGCCTTTAATCATAGCACTCAGGAGGCAGAGGCAGAGAGGCAGAGAGACACAGACAGAGGCAGAGAGGCAGAGGCAGAGGCAGAGGGATTCCTGTGAGTTCAAGGCCAGCCTGGTCTACAGAGTGAGTTCCAGGACAGTTGGGGCTACACAGAGAAATCCTGTCTCAAAAAAACACTCGTAATCTGTAGGTCTCTAAAATGTTTGAAGACCATCTGTCTACTTGAAATATGTCTCTGACCTTGAAAACATACCCTACATGACTGTAAGTTTGATTGTTATAGATGTCCAACTACTAACTTGTATTTCTTTACTATCCTAAATAGTTTTCAAGGACTAGAACTTTACATTTACAAATTAGTGCCATTGTTTAAGGTACAATACCTTAAACATGAAATAGAAACATATAATATAGTCTTACAAAAAAAGAGGTTAAATTTTTATCAATATACAAAATACCTTACATGAGTGGAAACATATATACAGCATATGAAAATCAAATTTGTATCGGTATATGAAAATCCATACCAATGTAAAATATTTTAGACTAGTAGTCTGTTTTAGTTTGAAAGTAGATACAATTATCTAAATTTTTTCTATCATTTCTATATCCCCCTTATTCTTTACAGAACAAGATCCCTGAATCTAATGTCCTTTGCTTAGTTTTCCTCCCAACCATGACTAATAACTTGTGACCAACCCCCCTTAGCAACTGCAAACATCCATCGAATGACCAAAAACCACCCACCCTACTTCTCGGGAATGTTGGCACTGTGTCCTTAAAATTACGAGCTTGGTTCAGCTGTCTCTCTAGAATTCTCCATCATGATCTTGACCTCCCTTATTCATGTGTTCACTCCTCCTTCTCTTTGACTGGATTCCCGGAGCTCTGCCTTAGTTGAGGATCTCTGTGTCTTATTCCATCAATTACTAGATAAAGACTCTATGATGATAGTTGTAGTATTCATCAATGTGATCAGAGGGATAGGCCAGTTCAGGCATCCTTTCTGCTATTGTTAGAATTCTTAGCTAGGGTCCTCCTTGTGGATGCTTGGGAGTTTCCCTACCACCAGGTTTCTCCCTAACCCCATAACGGCTCTCTCATTAAGATAGCTCTTACATTGCTCTTTCAAATTTCAGGCCTGAGCCATCTCATTGCCTCCCATTCTCATCCCCCTGCCCTGCCCATTACCACGCCCTGCCCCCAGTTCGCCCCATATATCTCATCTAATTTCCATTCCATGTGTTCCTCTTAGGATCCCCCTTGTTGCCTAGCTTCTCTGGAGCTTGGGGTTATAGTCTGGTCATCCTTTGTTTACATCTAAGATCCACTGATGAGTGAATACACACAGTGTTTGTCTGTCTGAGTCTGAGTTACATCACTCAGGATGGTTTCTTTTTCCAGTTCCATCCATTT